CCCCAAAACCCCAAAACCCCAAAACCCCAAAACCCCAGCCTTCATAAATACGTAGTAAAGAGCTGTCGGATAATAAAATTATTTATCTCGAGACAAATGATATGATATCGGAGCAAGTCAGGATAGAAACTACTCTGAAGTCAGTGTCAATCTCTATCAGCCTGTTTTCAGGGACACACATTATCTTCTCAATTCATTCCTTGAGTGTACAGTCAGGGTTGAAAATTGCAACTCTGTTGATGCCATAAATTTCTTTTGTCTTAGCAACAAGCTTTTTGGTAATGAAGTCTTTCTTGAATGAATTTATAGACCATCCTCTAGTCCTTGCTCTTATTCTTCCACTGATTTTGCTATTGTGTGAATGATTCTTCATTCTCATATAATCTGTACTTGGAAAATGTTTCCCACTTGTCTCAGGCTCGAGTCTATACCCTCCAGAGGACTCTTTTCTTTGTAAAATATTAGACTCTTCTTGGGAGAGGATATTTCTTAAGTTCTTAGAAGCTTCACTCTGATTGTTCATTTGATAAACATCATTAGCTGAAGAAAACTCCATCTTCGTTTTTGTGCCTGGCATTGTATCATCCATTGCCATATTTTGCTTGCTCCCATTATAAGATCTTACTCTATTATCACTAATCTTTGAGCCACTTTTTTTTGATTCAGTATCAAGTTCGTACAAAAAATCCTGTCCATCTTCATCAATACCTTCGTCCTTCAAAAATTCACCGAAATCACTATCTTCTTCACCTTCACATTCAGGTAAGTCAGACTCATCCTTCTGGGCATCTTGATAGATCTCTTTAAGGAGCACATGAATGGGTTGGTCGAAATATTTACCAGATCTGAGTAACCAAAATACATCTTTTAGGAAGAAGAGTCCAATTGTTCTTCTAGATTCCATATCTTGCACAACAGGAACCATTAAGATCTGGTACTCGAGCATCTTCTTGATGACTACATACAGCTTTTCATCTTTTTGAACAACCTTAATGGTATCGTGCTCAGGATCTCCTCAACCTTTAGAATAAAATATGTCAATTTCTGTTAAAGTCCTCTCAAATGGTTTCACATCCCCGTCGTAATTATCAACAAAGAATTCGAGAAAATCATTATATGAGAGGAATCCTTGGATGAAGGAAGGAATCTTGTTTTCAGCATCTGAGATAGACTCCAAAGCTGCCATCTTCAAGCCCTGATCTTGCATGATATCCCATATTTTCTTCAGACTCTCATCATAGCCTATCTTGACTATTTTGTGCTTAGTGCATTTGACATGTTCAAATATCTGAAATACTGATTTATTTTCCATTTCTTCTGCTATATCATTGAAAAGAGTTGAAGGAGCTATATAAGAGAGTTAGAAAAGCTATTATTTCAGTAAAAATACCGTTTAAATCTTCATTGACTGCCTCTTCAGATGGAATTTTCTCTTCTTCATCTTCATCTAAATATTTTGAAATGTGTTTACTAATTTCATCGGAAGAAGGAACATTAGTGTTTATCGAGACGTCTAGAAAATCTTTCAGTACAAGGGTTCCATCATATTCTCCTCTAAGAGAATCCCACACTACTCAATGAGGAGTCTTTTGCTCATGTAGTGCTGTTAGGCCTAAACCAATTTAGACAAGTCATATTGATTCAATTACCAACTCTAATGCTCATGTTTCTCTCGATAGTTAGCACCTTTGCATGTAGGGGAAGAATTTCAATGATCAAGTGCTTTTGAAGGAATCCATAAAGAGCTGAAGCTATATCCTTCTGTATCTTTAATTTAGCATCCTCAGCTTTTCCGAGCTATAAAATAGTAAATCCCATAATTCAGAAAAAGGGCTTAAAATTTAGGTTCAAAATTTATAAACAATGAAAACTCTAAAAGGGTTAACTAAATTAAATAGGCACCAAGACTTACCTTTTTCTGAGTAATTTCTCTAGGCGATGTATAGTTACTCTCTCTGCTTGCCTCTTCAATTCTCTCTTGACTCATTGCAGGATCCATTAAATAATATAATACAGCAGCCAATCTTTTTTTTTGAGGGAGGGGTTTTGGGGTTTTGGGGTTTTGGGG